CCCCCCCCCCCTCAGTGGAAGATGGTTGGAGATGATCAGGTGTTTTCACAGCAGACGTTTCTACTTGTCAAAGTTGGAAAAAGCACAGCTGTTGCTGATAAAATGAACAACTTCTCATTTCTGTCGAAGCTCTCCTGTGACAGCGAGCCAGCCTGCACAGCGCGGCAGCAGAAACGGAAGCAGTGAAACTGAATTCAGCTATCATTAATTTTATTTATGTGCTTTTACTGTTCTGACACTTGCTTACAAAAAAAAGCCTGTTGTATCCACCAGTGGCTTTTCTTCAAATTCACCTCTTGAGGTGCTTCTGAGTACTGAGGAAGATTTAAATACACCTTCCCTGTCGCTGGTTGAAGTTATTTTTGTCTGAATTGTATCAGAAGGTCCCCATGGATCTAGTTATAATTTTAGAATCAAATAGATGACTTTATGTTGCAGCTGCATATTTTCTTTTCAATAACTAAGAGACAATTACTGCAAACTGCTGTTTTTCCCTTTTTTATAAATCCCTGTAGCTCTGGTGTCACACAACCCTGCAGTTTTTCAGTCATATTCACCCACGTTGTTCATGCACAGTCAACTTTGATTTTGATGTTCCAGACAGCATAAGACAACGAGTTAATAGAAAGGAGCCTATAGACCAGATGGCTTGCCGAAGGAGTGAGGTGTTATGAGAACATCAAGCTGACAAAATGCAAGATGTTAAGTCTTGCTGAATCTGCTCATTGTGCTTGCCGTCAGTCTGTCTCTTTCTGTTGTTTCAAAGTGATCCCCAGTGTAACCGTCCAGATTGTGTTTTGACAAAGAAAGCGGAGGATCCTTCAACGTACTGGTCAGCTCGTATCAAATACTTTAACCAAGGCGATCTCAGATGCATACGAAAAATAACCCTGATTAGTTGCTCGCTCTTCAGGCTATGGTTCAGACTACAAATGTTTCTGTCTTGCCCTGCCTCACATAAATAAATGCACACTTCTTTTAACCACACAAACAAACAAAACCCAAAGAAAGAAACAAAAAAAGCAACATTTTACAACTTCAACCTAAAGTGCTCCATCTATGAAAGATAGCATGGGTGCTGTGTTTATTGTTGTGGTTGACCTTCAGGCAGGCCTTGCTTACTAAATCAAGCCAGACAGCAGTTCCTTTGCCTCAGTCTTAGAGGAAGGAACTGTCGTCTTACAGAATAAAATAAGTACGCTATACATTGAGTCGTGGCCTTTCCAACATCAGCTGAGAGCAACCTGCTGATCTCCCTTTGTGGCCATCAAGGAAGTGAAGGGAGACCCGGGGCAGCTTTTACCGAGAGGCCCCTAAAGGACTCTAAATTTCACCTTTGAATCGTCGCGTGTGAGAAGATTTCCTGTGGCTCCCTCACTGTCTGGAAGTAACCGTATCCTCAAAGGGGTTTTGACACGCAATACTGGTATGAAAAAATACATTGCACCTGTTGCTTCAGGGGAGCGGTTTCCATGGGTGGTTCTGCACACTTTATCTTTGAGGATTTAAACAGATCAAGGGGATTTGAGGGTTAAGAAGAGGAACTGTTTGAGGCAAATGGATGGATTCTAACACACACACACAACTCACAAATGAATTTTGTTTTTGGGAGAGGTGGTTGGTGACGTTCTTGCCAATTGTTTGCCCGACTTGTGTTTCAGCCAATTTCCTGTTTCCGGGCTTAATCACATGTTGAAGGCTGTCATTATTCAGAAAGAGAGAGAAACGCCTACAGTTTATGAGTATTTAAAGAGCCTGCTCCTTTACCTGAGGAAATTGTTTTATTGATAAAAACAGTGCAACACATTGATCAATAAAACATTATGTGACCACAGCAGCGTGACGAGGCACCAGGATAGCACACGGATAAATTGAAGCCACGCCACTTCCATAGACTGGATTTCCATTTCTCATTTACTTTTTGGCTGTTTGCTGATGTATTGCTTTTACTGGTATTTACTTCATGTTTACAAGCCTTTTATTTGGTGATGCTTTTTTGCACTGAACAGGGTTTGATGTAGTTACAAATATTTAAAAAAAGAAACACCGAAACAAATACACAGAAGTGGACAAATGAAACAAAAACTGGCTATTTTTGTATCAAACATCAGCATGAATAATAATGGAAGACTATAAAACAAACTGACTGATATTAAAATTTATGTTTTTGATGTGCACACTTATAAAATAGTTCTGACAGTATCTTAACTGTCTTTCCTTTTTTGTGCTATTTTGAGGGAACCCATGCAGATTGTGGGGCTCTAAGCAATACCTTTTATAATGAGGAGGTTAGGAAGAGTTAATAAGCATGTTGGACTTTAAAAGCTCTATTCACATTAAAAGCACTAATTAAGGAAAAGGTCATTAGATGAGTATCTTGTTTATGTAGCTGTTAGAGTGGCTTCTGCTTTAAAAATAAAAAATAAACGTTAGACTTCAGTAATGAATGGCTTTTGAACCTTTTCTGATTACAGCAGGCTTTGTGTCTGCAACACATAGACATCAAATATCTTGAATTCAATAAAAAAAAAAAAACAACAACCAAAAAACATCAGAACATGTCTTTCATCTTCACTTTGTTTTCGTCATATCTGCTGGAAAAGAACTGGAGTATCATCTTCAGCATCCAAATCCTATTGAAAAACATTTTTATCATTGTTGAAATTATATGCCTGTAATGGTATAGAACTGCAAAATGATGCAATTTTCTACAATACTAACCAGCTTATTGTTGTGTCAGATATTCCAGTAAAAATCTGTGTAGAAATCAATTTTTCTCCATGTTTGTGGATTTCATTTTTGTGGCAGATTCATCTTGAAATGCATTATAAAGTCATCAATCTTTATCTAGAAAGTGACTCAGTGGCGCAGTCAAACCGCAAGTTGATTCTGGCTTCCTTGTTTAGTTTGTCCACATTTTAAAATGAAGCTGAAAAATGATCTCTGGTTAGCCAGCTCACCCATTTGTTCCACTTGGGGAGGCATTACAGCCAAACCCTCTTGAAAGAGTTTAGGTTTAACTCCGTTTAAGTCGATGAGGACTTCTCACAGCTTCCTATCCGGAATTCCCTCAGACTGCTGGTGGCTGCAGGCGTGTAATTTGTGCCAGATTTGCAACGCCGTATCCACCCTCTGACCTAAAAACAGAGACACATTGTGCACAAACTTTCTACTCTATGTAGCTTTGTGAAAGTGTTCATGTGGCTTAATGACAATAGGCTGTATTTCACTCAGCCTGCAGAACTGTGATGTGGCTCTTTTGGAGAGTTTCCACTATAAATGATGATCAAAGTAATTGGAAAGCATTGTCAGTGATCAATTATCGGGTATTTAACATCTGCTTACTTCTCTAGAATTGCTCTGTAGACTTTAGTTGGAGGTGTAGGAAAAAGCCCAAGACGCCTGTTGTGGCATCGGCTAAATATGATACAGCCAGTGGACAAACAAAAACTCTATACAACATTTTTGCTCAGCTTGCATGTAATAACTTTAATGCAAAACAGAACTATTATTAAAGGGAACAGAGTCTTTTCATTTTCAAAACCATATTTGCATTATTGGACTTCCTTAGAAAACCTACGCTTTGGTACAGCCCCTCCATTCATTCACTTATGGAAACTTACTTTTGATTGGCTGCCCCTCATAAACTAACGATTGTGAAAAGGAAAGTGTGCGTTAATGAAAGTATGAATAGCAAGACTAATCTTCTCAAAACTTATTCATAAACCTAAAATCTGTAACAATTTTATTTATACAGCGCCAAATAACAGCAACAGTTGCCTCAAGGCACCTTATATTGAAAGGTAAAGACCCTACAGTAATATATAGAAAACAGGGAAAACCCTAACAATTAGATGAGACCCTATAAACAAGCACTTTGGTGACAGCGGGAAGGAAAAATTCCCTTAGAAGAAATCTCCGGCAGAACCAGGTTGAGTAAGTCCCTTCTGAGGTTAGGGGAGGAAAACAGGACAAAGACACACAAAACTCAACGCATCATGGGAAGCCGCTGGCAGCCTCGGGGTATTGCAGTATAACGAAGGGAGGATTCAGGGTCACCTGATCCAGCCCTAACTACATGCTTTAGGAAAGGAAGCTTTAAGCCTAACCATAAAAATTAGAGATGGTGTCTGTCTCTTAAATCTGAGAGTTGGTTCCAAACAAGAGAGGTCTGAAAACTGAAGGCTCTGCCTCCCATTGTGCTTTTATATACCCTAAGAACCAGCAGTCTGAGAGCAAAGTGCTCTATTGGGGTAATACAGTACTATGAGCTCTTATGTGTGAACTACAATTTCAAAAGATCTTTGAATGGGAGGAAGAAGCACGATGGTAAGTGACACAAGAGAAACGAAACAGACATTTAGAAACCTCTTGAGGTGGGTGATGCACCCAAAATCTAAGGTCAAATGACCGTGAGCATCTTTTTCCAATGAATCTTTACCTAGCCTTAGTGCTGCTGAAAGAAAAAGTCCCCAAATCCTAAAAGACCCACAATAAATAAGTCCCTTCTACTGATATTTTAATTTTTTCCAGCCTGTCTGTGGCTGCAAGCCTTGAGCTACTGATGATGTAATTTGATCACAAATGCAATACATCATCTTTAAAATGGCTAGTTTCTTTCAGTGTACCCAACATCACTAAACCGGACAAAATACTGCATTTACTGGAATCTCTTTGAGCTCCAGATTTAGTGTTAAAATGTGTATTTAGCACAGCAGGAAAGTGTGTCCGAGGTCAGCTCAAAATAAACTTCAGAGCCCATGCTGATTGTAAAAAAAGAAACGTGTCACATTGTGCAATAGTGTTGAGTCCACTGATGTCTTTTTAATAGCTTTTGAACAACAATGGAGCTTGATGTCACAGAGGAATAAACTATAATTGCTAATACACATGCAACACTGGTTAGTAGGAACTATCCATTGTTGATTTTCTAGCATATGAGTGGATTTCTTGACAGCAGAACAAACACAGTATCACCAGACATGCCCTTTGAAGGGATGTATTCATTAAAAAGGGCATTAATCATCTGTTTTGTGTCAGCAGCACAGGACATCAAAGGAATGGGGCACAGCACCAAAGTGGTGTTGTCATGCTCTGCACAGCCGTCAGTGACATAAATCAGAATTTAAAGATAGAAGACTGGACAATACTGTGCCTTTGCCACCTCAGAAAGAAATAGAGTGAATTTCTTTCAACTTTTTTTTATCTGCTCTAATTGTGGAGTTAATTAGACACTAGCTCTTTGAAGTTGCACTTGAGCAAATATCTGTTTTGATCTAAATGTTCATGTCAGTGTATTCAAATACTCAGAAATGTCCATTTTTGATGTACAGTACTTAACAAATTTATTAGACCACCACCCAATGTAAGGTCTATGCCACAGCCGCCCTACAGTTACAGTACTGATAATTAACCAGTTCATTTTTCATGGTTCTGTAATGGTTAACTCACCAGTAGGCACACCTACCTAAAACATTTTTTTAAATGCTGAAATGTAATTATTGTAATTATTGATTAATTTTCAAATATATTGTTTTACAAGAAGCAGAACAAGATAGTAAAGTACTTCATTATCATTATTATTATAAGTATTATTAAAGCCACTTTTAAACGACTAACCATTTTATGCTTTAGTAAATTTACATCTATTTTACAAAGTATATTTTCTAAGTTTTGTTGCAGTAGTAGTGTTTTTGTACAGGAAAAAAATGCATGGTGTGACTGTAAGTAGCAGTTCCTGCACCAACCTTCTTAAAATGTCGGTGTGTGGCATTAATAACAGATGCAGCCTGGTCCTTGGTAAAGGAAAATCAATGGTTTATTTCTGTTTATCCCAAGAGTGTGTACTAAATGTCATGAAAGTCCAATCAGACGCTGTTTTAACTTAGCACCAGACTCATTAGACTAGATACCTCATAGAAAAAGAGAACTTGAATGCAGGACACCAGCAAAAGAAAAAAAGTTCAAATAATTTTAATTCAAGGATAGAATCATACAGGAAAGCGTAAGTCATTAAGATAAAAAAAAGGAACTGGCAAGAGGAAGACATGAGAAACACCTGGAAGGACTAGAAAGCTACGCTACAGGAAACAACAATCTGGCCTAAAACAAAGGCGTTGGTTACCTGGCATATCAGTTGTACCTAAAGCCAGAAATGTCAGCCTCACCAGACAAAAATCACAGGATCTTAGTCCCGATTCTCATCCTCTTTAAAGACCACAAATTTATATACAGAATTCTGCACCCCTGACAGCCATCAACAGAACAGCAAAATGTGCAACAGCTCACACAGAAAACCTTCATCTGTGTGATCTGCTGTTCTCAGAGATATCTAAAGCGCAATGATACAGACCTCAGTGGGTGGCAAACACAACATGCTTTTACTTCATCACTCTAGATAATTTGAGCTTCTCCTTTTTGCAAAGGCACAAAAGTCTATCACAGTTCCATGAAATGCGAGAGTTGTTCTCAGAAAGCTTAATCTTGGTGCCAAGTCAGAATTCTCACAAACTACTGTAGGGCACGCGAACCGGAGCAGCTGCAAATTCACATACTGCACAAAGATAATAAATTCCCGGCAAGACTTCCTGATAGATGTAATTAACCGTACAGCAATCTAATTTGTTGGTTAATAGTTGAGCGGCTTCGTTGACCTTTAATGTGTTATTACTGGATCATCAGATTTCAAAACAAATTAAAATCGTTTGGCGTGTCTTCTTCTAGCTCATAATATTTTTAATTAATTCAGATGAAGTTGAATCTCTGGAGAGAGTATCTTAATTCTGAAGCTGAACATTCACACAGCCTTTAGCTCTGCGGGGTCCTGTGTTTGATTCATTTTGTTTTGTAAGCCCTCCCTCAGCAGACAGTTTGGGTGTCTGACTGTTGATGCAGCTGAGACACACTGAAGTGGCTGAATGTGCTGCCGACTTGCCTCTGCTCATGTGGCTTCAGAGACACTGAATCATCCGTTTTGCACCACTTTGTTTTTATAAACTATGGGCAGCAACTGATTAAATTCTTGTGATTCCAGGATCATCTGTTCATTGTTTGTTTACTCTTACTTAACTTTCTCCCACTGTGACCTGTGATCCTCAGTAAGAGCTAAAAACAGCTTTCAATATGGGGACACAACAGTATTTACTCAAGCTAGTCTAAGTCTGTTGCTGTGCAGTAGATATAGTTAATGTATTCTCCCAAAGAAGAAATAAAAATAAAAATACTCTATTCTTGTTATCATTGTTACTACTAGTACTACTACTACCAAATATGACAGTGGAGAAATCACTTTATAAACTGCATGTGTATGCTTTAAGTTAATTTCGTTTTAGTGTTTACCGATGTGCTTCACCAGCACACAGAAACAGACCTTGGTGGGCGGCAGAAACAAATTTACTGTAAAATAACTAGAGAGCAAACTTCAGTACCTAAATGCCTTTAAAGCTTTACACATTGATCAGTGCTTTGAATTTTGAACATTTCTAATCATGCAACCTCTAATGAAGCATTTATTATATATTAATTAAGAATGGTTGCATCTCATGCACTGGAATGTAGTAGATTTAGTTCAGTACTACACCTTGTACTTTGAATGCTTCTGTGTGATGCTACTTTACAGTTAAGATAAGTACAAATAAAATAAAACAAAAATAAATAGAGCAAAAGAAGTAAAGTGTTTTTTTTTACCCCACTTCCCCTTTACTAACAGTTATTAGTTTGGTTTTACATACAAGGCAAATCAGGAAATTAAAAACTTTAATATTTTTAGACTTAATGAATAATTTAAAGTGGTTTAAAGTAAATAAATACAACATTGCCATGCCACTTAATAAATTCTACTATTCCTACTAGCTACTACTGCTATTAACTGCTATTACATTAGATGTCATATTCCCATATGCTCCACCTTTTTGGTGACCACACTGTGTTTGTGAGTCTCCAGAGATCCCTTTTTCCTCTCTCTTGAGTCTCTCCTAACGTTTCCCCTTTAAGTGGAAATGACCGCAGTTTATTGAGTCCGTTTCACTGGAGAGGCTAGTGTAACTGTAAATGTTGCTGTCAGCTCCTCCCATCCAGCTATAAGAGCCCAGCTGACCAGGTAGTCTGTGTCCATCCCTGAATAGGCCCTGCAAAACGGACTTATGAGAAATTGGTGAGCTTTATTAGAGCCGTACGTTTTTGGTTGTACGTAACAGACTTTTGAGATGTAGGTAGGGACGGTCCCTGAGGTTGTTTTCCGACTGGTTGCACAGCGGATCTGGAGTAAGGACTGGTAACTTTTTCAATGATGACTTTTGCCATGCTGCGGCCTGTGGCGACGCACATGATCTACTCGGACTTCACTGTCACCTCCGAGGACGATGAGAACCGCAGCGAGAGCGATGGCAGTTCGGAGCAAAGTTACTGTAGCTCCACCGACAAACGAAGACGGATTTCCAGCAAACTGGAAGGAGACTCCGCGGTGGTCGTGAAACAGAGGAGCGCGGCTAACGCCAGGGAGAGAGGCAGGACGCAGAGTGTCAACACCGCTTTCACGGCTCTCCGGACTCTCATACCCACAGAGCCCGTGGACAGAAAGCTCTCCAAGATTGAAACTCTTCGACTGGCATCCAGCTACATTTCTCATCTGGCCAACGTGCTTCTGATTGGAGACGGTGGCGCAGATGGGCAGCCGTGCCTCGGCGGGGTCCATGCGCAAGGAGAGTTTGGGGAAAAGCAGCCGCGGACCATCTGCACCTTCTGTTTGAGCAACCAGAGAAAAGGGGTAAATGTTTTATATGTCAGAGCTCGATTTAAAATGCTTAGATTTAACTGCTGGGTTAAAAATGCCAACAATTTTATGTCAATAATCGTGCGCAATGAAATGCACCATGCCTATTACTTAGCAGTGCAGCTCATTTTTTAACCTATGTATTTTTTATGCTGATGTTTGTTCGCAGTATAACACAGTGTATTTCTTAACCATCACTTTAAATTCCTCACAAATAGTGTCTTTTTAATTCTGCAAGAAAACCAGAGCTACGCAAAACACTTAGTTGTTGATAGGAACTACATTTATTCACGTGACATCGCTTTTGTAAGCCTTTATGGCGCAGATTTTTTGTTTTTTGTTTTTTTGGAGTGCTTATATATGACCCAAGAATGTCTTTCTTTCCAGATCAAAGATGGAAAAGACTGTTTGAAAATGCGAGGGCTTGGTCCGCTGCGAATGACGCGCTGACTGAAGACCAGTGAATGACTGACAGCCTGAAAACCCTCAAAGACTTTCTCAGGGAAGAGTCGAAGCTGGTTTTGGAGAGCGTGCTCATCTACATGTACACATGCTGGATCAAATAATGGAACCAAAGAAAGGAATATTTATACTTGACTGGAAATTTACGCATAAGCCTTTCAAAGATGCAGTGCATTTTTTAAAAAAATGAAAAAAGTTGTGGATTATTTTTTGTTTGGTGTCTTTTTTGTTGGCAACATTTTAAATAAAATATATTTTATAAAACAAAAACAATTCCCGTCTTTAAAAGAAAAAAAACAACAACAACACATTTGACTCAAACAAAATGATTTGAATCATATCATAATGTAGTTCAGATTTCCTGCACTAAAGAGGAGATTAATGGAGTGTATATATCTGAGACCAACAATCTGTTGAGGTCTTCTATTTCACCACCCACTTTAAAAAAAAAAAGAGTACTTCCAATATACAATAAGCAGCTGCAGTTTGCAAAATTGCTGCTCTTTTCTAATAAACATTTGAAAACATTGACTCTAATAGCAAATTTGGAGGTATAAATGTTTTTTTATGTCTTTGCTGAAAGATGTCAGACATACAAACATTTCCACTGTTTACAGTGATGGTGCCAGTGTGTTGTTTATGAAGCCTTGCAGACCCACGGCAAAAGGTTCGGGGTTTCCAGTGTCACTGAGTGGTGTGTTTTTCCCAAAACTCATGATTGGTGTTTTTTTGAAGTCTGTTATCGATTAGTCACGGCAAATAGTAGCCCACACTCTGTTCAGAGCCCCCAACACAGCTGTTGGTATGTCAGAGGGATAAATCACTGCTGTGGGCCCAAAAGACAGGGAGATGGGGTGAGAGGTCAGAGGTCACAGTGTAGTATTGAAGTGAAAGCTAAGTGACACTTAGAGACTGCAAATGATGCAAATTTAATCTCAGAGCAGATTTTCAAGATATGTATCTTTTTTTCATGTCATTTCTTATTAGTAGGAAACATCGCTGTATTTGATATTCAGGTTCTCACATCGCTATCAGCATGACAAATAATTACTGTTTTATTTATTTTCAGCTGCAAAAGAGAACTTTCTCTTGTGCTTGCCATCTTTTTGTGCACTCTGGTTTCTGTAGCACATAGCAAATTCAGATAGCTTTCACTGACAAATGCAGATAAAGTAAATGCTATCATAAAATGTCCCAGTAAAGTGTTCAGGCACCACATGCTGTCAGAAAAGCTCCAGTGTCCCTTGGCACTTGTTCTCTGAGCCCCTGAAAATCTACTGGAGGGAAGGAAGACCAGTCTTCCAAAAGATTTTCCCTCATTTGACATTTTGAGGATGATGATGATAATGATTATGTGAATGATTATGATGATGGTGATGATGTTGGAGACCACTGTCTAACATGTTCTTCCACAATCTCCATAGCTATGCCAATATCAATCACATATCTATCACATTATCCCTTTTCAAGCATTCCAGTAGATATCATAATACTCCAGTGGAGGGGGGCATTATCCTCCCAAAGGACACCTTTCCATGAGGATAAACAGGCTTTAAATGGATAAAGGTGATAATTCAGAACTGTAACTTGATTTGTAGTGCAGCTTTTCTCCAAGACACATACATGCACATCAGATAACTGGCAAGATGAAGAGTAGTTTAAATGCTTATTAAGTATTTAGTTTGATTTATGTTTGCAGTGCTTTTATTTCCTATAAACATTGTTTGATTAATTTGTCCAATGCGTGGCCTTCAATAACTTTATCTAAACCAGTATGATCCCCTGAAAGATAACTAACTAACTAACTAACTAACTAACTAACTAACTAACTAACTAAATAAATAAATAAATAAATAAATAAATAAATAAATAAAAATACAACCAGACTCAAATAGTGGCTGTGAAATGCTCCCCACAGCACAAAAAAGATCCCTACCTGTAGGGGTCAAGGGTTCAACTTTTTCCTTTAATTTGCCATGTGTCTGTATTTCATAATGCTGCAAAGCAAAAGCCGCCCAGTCTCTGTGGGCTTCTTCTCCAGTCTGTAATGAAAGCTGTAACAGGCAGATTGCAGCTCAGCGACACACAGCTGAGCCCAAGTTCCCTTCTGGCATCTCTTTGAATAAGACTGCAAACTCAGTCCTCTGAATGACAGAAGAAAGCTCCCTGGTGAAACAGGAGGCTGTATGGAAAGTTAATTTTAAGGCAGCTAAAGGTGCATGCTGGGGGTCTGAGTTTCCTTTGCCGTCCCTCCCCCACCTGCTCTGTCAGGATAAGTCGAATTTGTCCTCCTCACCCAGGGACCAGGCCTCCTCAGATGGCTCCCTGAGGCTCCCCCCGGCAGGAAGATGTCACGTAGGCAGAGGAAGGGAAAACAACACGCAGCCGACCTCTCTGAGGAACTCTCTGTGCGGCGGGGCTTTGGGTCATCGCCAGTCTTGACATCATCCGGCACTGGGACCCAGATGTACGGATCTCTAGTGATGCTTTTCAGAGTGAGCGAACAAAATACTGAGTGTTCAATCAAATCAACAATTTTTTAGTTTTCACTAAGATGAAAGATAAAAAAAAAACATGGCGGAGATGATCAGAAGGAAAGGGCGGGAACAAAGAACCCAAGTAAAGTCAGTAAAAATCAGTCTGGATCTGTTTAACATGTCTGACAGGCGAGCGTCCAGAGGATTCACCTGGAGATCACTGCAAAGGTTTACCGCTTCACTTTGGTAAGTTTTTCCTCCTCGGACATCCCAGTCCCAGCAGAGAATTTTAGCGGAGCTTAAATGAAGCCAGACGGCAGTTCCACCTCCTCCTGCCAGTTTTATGTTCTGTGACATGACGATAATAGATGGAGCTCTGCTGTCTTACCTAAAACTACTAGAAACAGAGCATTTTTTACTAAATTAGGTAAATTATTTCTGCTGTATCATGTATCTTCATCAAAGGAAGGTTTTATATTTTTCTTCTCTTTTTTTTTGTATGTATAGCCAACTGGATACTGGATTTTTCACATATTGCTCATTGCTTATTTTTCCAAACTTTCAAGCGAAAGCGTTTTGGACTTCCCCAAATAAGTGTTGCATGACTTGGGTATGAGATGCTACAAAAATGTTTAATTGTGCAATAAAATGCAAAGCTCCAACTGCACTGTGTGTGTACAATGTGTTTCTTTGTCATTCTCATTGAGAAGCTCAGCGCTTTATTGTACACTACAGATTTATGGTACAGAGTTATTCATGAATAAAAGTAGAGAAAAACTGGTGTCATTTTAGATCTCGTTGTTCTTCTTGGTGATTGACAGTTACTTAAAAAGAGGAAGTGGCACATTTTGGAAGCACAATTTAATGAGTACAACTGAGCTCGGTCTATGAAAACACCTTTGCAAATGAGACACAAATCACGGTTCCGGCAGCTCAAAGTGTTCCTGTCCTTGCCTCACTAACATAAAATAGAAAAAAGTTAAAATAGATGATCCAGAAACAGGAAGGATGTAAAGCATTTTTCAGCATCATCTGGGAGCCCAGGACTGATTCCCACATGGGTGCTTAGCTTCATCATTTTGTAGTCTTGCCAGAGAGCTGTTGTTAGACATAAACCTGCACATGGTAATATTTTAATGGCTTTTGCTCTCAGAGTCTGCTTCAGCATGTTTCAAACACTCGCTGGCTGGAGAGATGGCCCCTGGCTCCACCTGCATGTCAAAGATATTGATAGTTGTGAGTCACTTAGTGGTTCCAGGCTCAGATACCTTTCTTCTGATTTTACTGAACATGAACGCTTTCCCAAAAAGGAGGAAGAGGAGGTAGAGGAAGTCTGTCTGTTTGACCGTCAGCTGAGCTTCGGCGGGGGAGAAGCTCGCCAATGCAAGGAGACAGTTGTGTCTCCTCAAACATGCAAGAACAATTGTTTTCATGTGCCAGACAACTTGGCAAGGCCTTCAGAAGGAGAGGGAGGATGATGGAGAGTGAAGGGTGGGCGGGGAGAGCTGGTAAAAGGAAATCCCAGAGAAGAAATTAGGGAACAATGCACACCGTCTTAACACTGCTCTGTTCTGTTACAATCAAGCTTTAGGAGTCAGCAGGCTGCCAAAGCCCAGGGCTTGAGGTGAGAATCCAGCAGCACAGACTTGAGGGGTTTTTGCTTCCTTAAATAAACAATTGAACAGGCAGCATGATGCATCTCTGCAGCGTGTTGTGCCTCACAAAGACAGGATTTATTTCAGTCAGTTTCAAATGAACTGACCAAAACAAAACAAGACATTATCCAGATCAAATGGGAGGGGAAAAAAAATCTTCCCCACCATGTGGAAGCGTTCATTATTGGATGTTTAGAGGAAGTGTTTGTGTTCATGTAGATACAGTTTCTCAGTTTCCCGCAATAAATTCTGTCCCACTATTTCACTATCTTCCCTTTTAAGTTTGGTTTTATTGCTTATTCCTTGTGATTTTTTCTTGTTGGTATGTTTTCCCAGTTTATCCTGTTTTTGTTATCCCATACTTGCTGTTAAATTTGTGGTTATCATGACATATGTTTAATTTTATCACTGATTTTAATTTGTTCTTTTTGTCATATGATCCCTGATGATTTTCTTCACATGGAAAGGACAGAGGATCAACTTCTGTCATGTTGCACCTATGAAACTTTATATAAATAAAGGCAACTCGACTAAATGAAAGAATTATACAGAATGATTTTTTTTTCCTATTTAGAGGCTGCAAAAGGTAGCTGAAAACATGACAAACTGCAGAGTTTTTAGTTTCAAATTTTACCTTTGTTAATCACTTTGGAGCAGACAACCTTAGCTACACTAGAATGGCCGTAGGAACTTCATTCTTACTAATGTCAAGCGGGGGGGG